TTTTTTTTTTTTTTACTTTAGCAGTAAGTGCATTTAGGTGGGTGTACATAAAGGTATATACTATTTTGTATATATGTCGAGTGGCACTGATCATTCCATGGAATCAAAACGGGGTACTGTAGAATACTTTATTTTCGTTATTTTCACTGAAGGAATGATTCCGTGAAAATAAAATCCAGCAAATATACTTTTTATTTCCTATATTTCACATTAAACTCATCAAAAGTAATTAAAAATAAATTCCAGACAAAACGCCCAAAAAGCCTTTTCAGCGAAAATTCATATCAGCGAAAATAAAGTATTCCACAGTAACTGTATTTTGTAAAAAATGTACATCAGTTGATCTTCTTAAAATGGAGAACTTCGCCGTAAACTTAAACACTGAAGTCTATATATAGAATAAATATACTGATGTAAAACACAAAGACTGATGGGAAGGAAATTGATGTACGCAAAAGTGAAATGTACTTTCTATTGCATGGTTATAATAATAATAATAATAATAATAATAATAATAATAATAATAATAATAATAATAATAATAATAATAATAATAATAATAATAATAAATTTATTGCATTCTTAGAAATTATTTCTATTGGTTGACAGCAATAAAATGTTAGTAATAAAGTACAATACATATAAAACTAAAGTAAAAGTAAAATGTCAGTTATTGTTATTTCTGATTTCAAATATTTTGTATAAGTATTCACCAACTTGTCTTATTAGTACGTCTTCTCTTGAACTCATAATAATATATATTTACCATATATTCGTTTTGTAAAAAATAGTATACACATATAATTTTCATTTAAACAAAATGTGGTTAATAACTTATCTGTTATGCAAATAACAGAACACATGTAAGTTATGGTTTGCAGCAGGGAAACTACGAGTAGATGAGTGGAACGGAAGTGAGAGCGCCGCCAGTGTTTGGAGTGTGATTCGTAACTTCTCTTTTTTGTCTGAGGTGGCACACTATTTTTGTGACTCGTCAACAACATGGCGATCATGCAAAGGTGTAGTCGTTGGACAGTTAGCATTTAGCATTCGAACACATTCACTGAGCTTGTGATCAGCGTACATATCTCCCACTCATCTCAAATGTAGGTATCAGTTCAATTTTCCTTTCATTGGGGGATTTCATTCCATTTATTGCGTGAAAGATTCACGTCATCTTTTTTAAATGTTAGTAACCGTGCCGCGATCGATCACAGAACAACCGTGAATTGATGTACGTAACATAGTCCCCTCTCAGCTAACGTGATCATGTCCCCAGTTCTTGACTACTTTTTCACATATGTTTCTCGCTAAATCCAGTCGATATCAACTGCTGTGTACTTTGTCGATTACAGTAAATGTTCTGGCGGCGGTTAGTCGTTCAATTTGGTGTGCTTTATAATTATATTATTGTTGTTTACTTTGCAGCTTAGACAGCCTTTTACAGCAGAATGGAAACCCATTATTACAAACTCCATCTGCCGCCTCGGAAAAATAGATCGACGTTTACAAATTTGGTCTCATCACAAGTCATTGAAAGAGGTTGGTACGGCATATATTCTAATGATACCTTACTATTATTTTTACTGTGAACTTGACTGATTCATGGTATGGTAAATATTCACTGAGCAAATAAACTATAACTATCATAGAACAGGCATAAACAATAGTGTCCTCTCTTCTTCCCTTTCCCTTTCATTTCGTATATAGCAAATTTTGTTGTATCCGAACAACGATTTCATTGTGTTATTTAAATTTATCACAATTTTCTTTGCAGTCAATACGACACTCGTCACCTTGCCGATTGTAATGTACTTCACAAAGTTTTTTGTGCCTAATACTCACAACATTAAAATAATTCAACAAGATACAATGTATCTTTTTAGTAAAATGTCATTTTACTCATGTCACAATACTTTGAAGCTGATGCCATGTTGATGCCATGAGACTGCGAAGCTGAGGCCACGATGATGCCACAAAATAAGCGAGGCGAGCACAGCTTCAATTTTCAATGACGCGAAGCTGATGCCACAATGATGCGATGCTGAGGCGACAATGAAGCCGTGTGTAGGCGATAATGATGCCACAAAAGCCAAAGCTTTCGCGAGAACTGTACTGTATGCTGGTTTACTAAACGCTTGCGTATGGAAAATGGTAAACAATCTTGTCTGCTAGCAATCTCCTGCTTTATGGTCCCGTTGGTGGCGCCATTTCGGCAACACTCGTAATGCCGAAAAAACTCGAAGGTGACGGGAGAGGGGGCGTGGCCTGGTTTTGGAATTTCATTGACTGTTTTATATACCCTTTTCACTTGATTTTTTTTTATAATGTTGTTTATAAATAAATTTTGCACACAAAAATGTGAATTGGCCCAATTCAGTTACACTTTAAAGTGCGGCTCCGCAATCCCAGGAAATGCACCAGTGCATAATGGTAAATGTAATTTACATGATCCGCCAGAATTTACGACATTAAAAACATTAGAGTCTGTTAGAACACAGTCGAAGTCAAAATTGTCATATTATCTCCACTGACGAAGTTGTTGGAGCGTACGCAAGCTCTTGATGAAAATCACTTTCCGCCATGATACAGATGCATTTGCAGATTTGACCTGCAGCGGTGTCCTTTGACCTAATGGGTCAAGTTGGTTATTAACTAATCAGAATGCTGTGTTGTACTGACGCAATTCTTCGTAAATTCCCGAAAGCTTTCCGGTAAGCCAATGCGGAAGTCAATTATCGATGTCGAAGTACGATCTGTTGGAATTTATTTCAGCAAATAAACGACATGGTTTTTCAAATAAACTAGTAACTAGCCATTTTTGAGAGGTAAACTGAATATGGCATGAAATATTTACTGTATTTTACTTGTATTAACAGGTCATTGTCGAAGCATAGTTCATGCATGGTTACCGTGTTCTACGCATTCACAACATGTTCACAGCGGTCGATATCCATGCTGTATCATATAAAAACGATTACCAAGATTCGTTACGCAAGACCAAGTTTTAAATTAGTTGCATTTTGAAGGGGTGTTTGTTTTCTCTTCATTACAAAATATAGGTGCAATTTGCAGTTATGAATTGACGATTCTATCATTTTATCTTCCCGGTATTGCATGATCACTGTATTTCTTGGTTGTGAATATTTAGGCTAATAACCCTCTGCCGAAGTCAAGTATATTCTGAATTATATTATACCAGTATATTGATGGTGTTAATCCATTGATCTGATTGGTCCAAACACAAAATTTGTATATGCAATCAATGGTATATTGGCTGATAATGCACGGCTAAACCAAGTGGCCCTGGAACATGAATTGACTACAGGTTTAATACAGAAATACATAAAATTGGTATTATTTGATTTTTAGGGAAATACAGTGGTTGAATTTTGAAAATATATTGAAAAAACACCGAATTAAAAACATCTGAAAAGTTATATAACTATAATATTGCTTTTTGTTAATGGTGGGATCCAAGTTGTGAGCGTCGTCGTTGGGTGATTGTCGTTCACCACACAAACCTAAACCACCGTCCATCAACATTGTGAGGTGCTTAAATGAACGCCAGAACGATGTGTTCTCGGTGTTGTGACTTTGAGATGGATTGCGAACGTGATCTTTAAGTACTAGATAAGGAGTCACCGGCAAAAATGAATGCCACCATTAACAATCGGTGTCCCGTAGTGGCGTTCACAGACATCTCTTTCAAAGACCTAGGGACAATGCAGAATTCGATGATGATATATGGTATTGGACCATTCTAGTTTATATCTGCA